GATGGCTAAAGACTTTAAAGTGCCGTAAAGTTGTAGGTTCCGTGACATTGGAGCTATTCCAAAATAGTGCCATGTTATATAGGGATATAGCTAAACGAGGACTAATAATAAGTACCTCTGGTGGGAAATATATATGTGGGAGGCGATATTGGAGCGTTAACAAAAAGTAAACACCCAATAAAAACCTGAAAATTAAAGTACATCCAATTCGGTTGAAAATGTACCATTTTTTGGGAGCTAATCGGAATCTTTCGCTAATTTTGGTAGGGATATTTTCTAATAATAAGAATTCCAAATATAAAATCAAAGAAAAACTTGGACCAATATTAATAATTTTTAATAGGAATATTTTCTACCCAGTAAGAACTCGAAATATCAACGTATGGCTTATAAGGTTGAAAAACATGCCCAAAAGCTTCAAAATGCCGAATATTTGGGAAACAGAAAAAAAAATCATGTGTCACCACTTGAACTGATTACCACAGATTGGGTCATAGAAGGAGATTTTAACTTTGTTTTCAGTAACGTACAGAGAGGCAAACCGATGGACATTCAGGCATGTTAAAATCGACACATATGGCGATTAAACAAATATATTCGCAAATGTAACTATGGGTATATCTTGCTTCCGTCTGTTACAAACACGTGACCCATAATATATAGTGGCTAACCCAAAACGTAGACCAATGTTCATAATTTCTGATGGGGATATTTGTAACTCAATGAGAACTCAAAAAATAAATAAATAAAAGCCAATTCGTGTTCAAAAACATAAAAAGACCAATATAGTGGGGGTACCGTTTTAAATCCATTCGTTTGAAAATGGTGTTCAAAATACAAAAAATGGAGGGTTTCAATCATATGAGGCTGTCCTTAAACGTGGACTGATAATTCCAACTTTGTCCTATGGCCTTACTGCTGACAAAATACACATGTGTGCTAGATTTTTCGATTCATTAGGGAGATAGATTGACTACAACAGACTTTCGTTTTAGAATTTTTCACTAATCATTACTATATATTTTACTATACTTTTACTTTTACTATATATTTTATTTATTCAAAGAAGTTCCCTAATGTTTGCATAAGGGATCACACGGTTAAGCGCACGCCTTTAGCCTTTAGTGTAGTAATGAAAAACTTTACATTTTATGGGGGCTAGTATAAATATTTATATGCTAGGTAACGCTAAGGGTTGCCTTGCGTCATTGAACGGTCTGACGTGCGAGCAATAATAAATGGATTAACTAGCACAAAAAACACCTGTGTCTGTTGTCGCAAACAAAATTTGAAAATAGTCAATATCTGTGTTTCAAAAGAAGTTTGGAAGATCATTACGGCAGACCTATTCGTACGGGACCGAAACAAAACTGTAGGAGTTTTCGAAGACGAGCAAATTATGTACATTCGACGAGTTAGGAAATAAGAAAGATCTTGACCGATTGCATTTATCATACGATAGCTTTATAAGTGCAGACTAAAGTGTTAAAATTTGAAACAAATTTTGCAAAAACACTTTTTCGAGAAAACCACATTTAAAGTTTGAGAATTACTCTTGCGGTCGATTGATGCCAGCACAATAAAACGGCTATATGTTCAAGAGTTGTTTATTTTCACTAAAATTTTAAAGGGACACTTTTCATAGAAAACCAAAATTAATTATACCCTTCACTACACTGTGGTACAGGGTATTATGTCTTTATACATATGTATGTAACAGGCAATAGAAAACGAGATAGACACATAGTTCCTTTCGAGAATATGTCTCTCCATGTTAAATTGTAAACAAAATACAGGTCGAATTTTTAATTCGAATTGGATGAAATTTGGCACAGCACATTTATTTGGCCCAAGGACGAACCCTATTGAAATTGGGAAAAATGGGTTCAGGTTTTGATATAGCTCCCATATATATTTTGTCCGATTTTATGTAAGTAGTGCACCAAAGTCCCTATATATCCTTCGATTTGTACGAAATTTGACACACCCTACTGAACTAAGTCTAGAACGATGTGTGTTAAATTTCGTGAAAATCAGTTCAGATTTAGATAGCGTACAGAACTAAGTCTGGAAAGATGTGTGTTTAATTTCGTGAAAATCGATTCAGATTGTGATATAGCTCCCATATATATTTTCGTCCGATTTGAGGTAATTCGTAATTTGCACGAAATTTCGCATAACGTGCTGAATTAAGTCTAGAACGATTTGTGTTAAATTTCGTGAAAATCGGTTCAGATTTAGATATAGCTCCCATATATATTTTCGTCCGATTTTATGTAAATGGTGCACCAAAGTCATTATATATTCTTTGATTTGCACGAAAATTTGATTAAGTCTAGAACGATGTGTGTTAAATGTCGTGAAAATCGGTTCAGATTTAGATATAGCTCCCATATATATTTTCGTCCGATTTTAGGTAAAAGGTGCACCAAAGTCCCTATATACCATTCGATTTGCACGAAATTTGGATTTTTAAGTAACTCAAAATGTGGCCAAATGTACAAAACATACTGAAATAAATGTAACCTAACATGTGGCAAGTTTCGATGAAATCGGTTTAGATTTCGATATTTTGCTTTAAATTTATTTATATGATGTTGTGCCATTGTAAGAATCAACTTTATATCTGACCAAAATTTAGTGTAGATTGCAGAATGACATGTTTAATTTCATGGTAATGGTCTGTTAGGATTCCAACTGTTGAATATACCCAAAGTGATGAAGGATATCTTGTAGTCGACCCCGCCCGACTTTACTACTTTCATTACTGCTTTTGAAATCAAGAATGGGGGTCCAATTGAATATTAACTAAAATTAGCACCTTTTTGGCCGACAAAAACGTGAAATTAACGGGGTCAACCGTCGTACAGCCTAGAGGTTGCACCCAATAACTTATTTTTATTCTCGTACATCAAGAAAAATATATGATTAACTAGTATCTTCGGAAACGTCTTTTGGTGAAGACTTGTTGTGGGAGGAGTCTCTATCGGAATGGAAAACGTGTAAAATCAACCTGTAGAACATGTTGAAAAACAATGACAATTTTTTTAATGATAAATATTCACATTTTCATTTTTAGACACGAATTATTTATAGTACACCTCGCATTACTCAATTTAAAACAGTTATATTTTTCTGTTCTGGATATTGTTGTGTTGAAAATATTATATTCTATTTCATAATTTTTAAGCAATTTCAAAAAGTTTATTATATTTATTAAATAAAAGACAATGTAGTTCAAGTTCCAAAAGTGTTTTTAAATATAATTAAAAAGTTTATTTGTTACACCTATGTCTCTTTTCGTAGACCAAACAAAAACTTAGAAATTTCTCACAACGAATGTGTTAGGTGTCAATGTCTTGATAAACCATCATATAATTAGAAAATTAATTTTAAAGTCTACAAAGTAAATACCAACAGTTTAGTCTCGCCCATTAATTAAAATCAGGGTTATAACATCGATATTTTGGCTGAATATTCCTAATGTTAGTGGGGGCATTTACAACAGACAAAACTATAATTAAAAACTGGTAGTAAAATCCAAAATAGACTTTCTTTTTTTAAATAAAAAATAATTATATTTTTAAAGAATATTTGTGAAAGTTTATTAAAGGCTTTGTTAACGGTTTTTAAGGACTATAAAAAAACTTTATGCGTGGATTTTTAAAGACTATTTTTCAAGCTCTATTCATTCTATGTTTAGGCGTGATTATTGGTTTTAGGCGTGTATTTTCAAAATAATATATTTCAAGGACTACTGAAGGCTTTAGAATATTATTCAAGGACTATTAAAGGCTTTAGGTGTGGATATTTTTACGAATATTTTTCAAGGACTATTGAATGTTTGGGCGTAGATTTTTGCAAAGATTACTGGCGTCTTTAGGTTTGGTTTTTAAGGACTTAAAAGCTTTAGGTGTGGGGTTTTTCATGTAATATTGAAGGCTGTGGGCGTTGATTTTTTTCAATAACTATTAAGACTTATGGAATGGATTTTTTCAAGAATTACTGACGGCTTTAGGATTGACGTTTTAAGCACTATTTAAGGCTGTGGGCGTTGATTTTTTTCAAGAACTATTAAAGATTTTAGGCGTGGATTTTTTCCAAGGATTATTGAAGACTTTGGGTGTGGATTTTTTCAAGGACTATTGAAGGCTTTAGGCGTGGATTTTTCAAGGACTATAGATGGCTTTAGGCATGGGTTTTTCAAGGACTATTGAAGGTTTTAGGCGTGGATTTTTCAAGGAATATTGAAGGCTTTGGTCGTTTTTTATGCACTTTTGCATGCATGTTTTTTTCAAATGACTATTTTTCAAGGTCCATCTAGGCGGTGAGTTTAAAATGAATATTTTTCAAGGTCCATCAGTAGCTTCAGGCGTGGATTTTTAAACCAGGTTTTTCAAGGTACATCAGTGGCTCTAAGCGGGGATTTTAAAAGAAATATTTTTCAAGGTCTATCAGTGGCTTTAAGGGGGGATTTTAAAAGGAATATTTTTCAAGGTCCATCAGTGGCTTCAGGCGTGGATTTTTAAACCAGGTTTTTCAAAGTATATCAGTGGCTCTAAGCGGGGATTTTAAAAGAAATATTTTTCAAGGTTCATCAGTGGCTCTAAGCGTGGATTTTTAAAAATTAAATTTTTTTTCAAGGTCCATTAATGGCTTTAGGCGTGGATTTTTTAATGGATTTTTCAGGGTCCATCAGTGCCTTCAGGTGTGGACTTTTAAATTATTTTTTTTTTCAAGGTCCATCAATGGCTTTAGGCGTGGATTTTTTAATGAATTTTTTCAACGTCCATAAATGTTCAAGAATATTGTTTTTCAGGACTATTAGTAATTTTTTTTTCTCGACATTAAAACATTATATTTATGGTTGAATATTTAGAACTTAATCCATTTTGCACTTCAACTTAAATGCTATCATATCCTCGTATATAAATAAGTGACAAAATACGCAAACAATTCAGTTCAAAATTTATTGTGAATATAATCAGTCATTTAAGAAAATGCCCGACGAATTGAATACCAAAGCCCTGTTTAAAACCCATTATGTGGTATGGCGTATTTTGGGCATGTTACCTCCGAAAAAAGATCGTACTCTATATTGGATGTATTCAGCGGTGTTTAACATTTCCATTACAATTGGATACCCACTACATTTAATAGTGGGTCTATTTGCCAGTAACAATGCCTATGAATTCTTTCAAAACATGGCCATCAACTTAACTTGTGCCTTTTGTACCATGAAAACCATTGCAATTTGGTGGCGTTTTGACAAAGTCGATATTATGTTTGAAATTATTCAGCGACAAGATGACCGTGTTCGCACTCAGGAAGAAATGTCCTTTCTTCGGAAAATGGTACATCCGCCGACTAAAAGGATAATTCTGACATTCACAATTTTGTGTAGCATCATAGCGGTGTCAAGTGAATCTACCGTCTTGTTTAATGGACTAATGGGTAATTGGACTCTGATGCATAAGGGCTACTTTCCTTTTGACATTTTTAAGAGTACAAGGAATTACATAATTGCCCATTTATATCAAATTATCGGTCTGTCCTATATGATTTTGCAAAATGTGGTCAACGATACCTTTGCACCTGCACACTTGTGCCTGCTACGTGGTCAGGTGCAAATGCTGAATATTCGTATTGGAAAAATTGGTCACGATTCGAATAAAGGAAGTGCCGAAAATAATCAAGAATTACTGGAATGCATCAAGGTGCACAAGGACCTGCTGGAGTAAGTGAAGATAAATTCTGACTTATTTTTATAAATTCCCTTAATTATTTTATTTCTTATTTTTCAGATACCACCACCAATTGGAGGAAATAATTTCCGTGTATATGTTTTTCCAAATTATGGTGGGCGCGTTCAATATGTGCATCATTTTGGTATTCATTATACTCTTCGTCAAGGACATCTTCACCCTGCTCTACTACACTTTCTATTTTATTGGTGTCATTTTTGAATTGCTTCCCGGTTGCTATTATGGCACTCTGTTGGAAGATGAATTTCATGAGCTGACCTATGCATTGTTCACCTGTAATTGGCCTGAGCAAGATGTGGAATTTCGAAAGAATCTTCGTATAATTGCCGAACATACTACACGTCGTGTTTACGTTACTGCATGGCTATTTCGTGTGAACAACAATGCTTTCATTTTAGCTTGTAAAAATGCATATGCTTTATTCGCACTTGTCATGAATATTAAGTAAAAATGTCAGATTCGAAAATATTTTCGAATATCAGGAAGTAAAAATATTATAGAATTTTACGTGTTGCAGTTAGTTTTTCCGCATTTTGGGGAGCATGAAAACGTGTTTCCAACAAATTTTGGAGTAATTTAATATTTTGAATTCACATTGAGTAGAAAATGTTCCTAACAAAAATGATCAACATTGGCCCATGTTTCCGCGCAGCCACCATATAATGCTAACCCACTAGTCGGTATTTTTAGTGTTTTGGACAAGTTTTTCAGCTGAATTAGCTTTAATTTAATTTTTCAGGTTCTCAGGGGAGTGTAATCTCCTTATTAAAAATGATCAATATTCGTTCACTTCTTAGAGAATCCAAACATTCCAAACATCGGTATTTTGGGGAGCTTGGGTACGTGCTTTAACCAAATTATAATTAATAAAAGACCTCGTCTCCAGATTCACTCAAATTGATAGGCGAATTGCTACAATCCGTATAAAAGCTAAGTTCTTCTACATCAGTCTCATTTGCACCCATGATCCGACCGAAGATAAAGATGAACAGACCAAAGACATTTTTATATGAGCGCCTAGAAATACCATATGACCGATGCCCTGGCTATGATATTAAAATTCTGCTAGAAGATTTTTAATGCAAAAATCGGAAGAAAAAATATTTTTGGCCCCACCGCCCCCACAACGGCATGAGTTTGATTGACTTGGCAGCAGCAAAAACATGGTCGTTGGCAGTACCACATTCATGGTAGTTAGGAGTATCAGATTCAAGCATCTCGATATACACAGGTACACCTGGATTTCTCCCGATCGAACAACAAGAAATCAAATCTATCATTTTGTGATAGACGGAAGGCATTCATCCAGTGTTTAAGACCTTCGATCGATCCGAGGAGCGAATATCGATTCGGACCAGTACCTTGTAGCAGCCAAGGTTCGTACTCGTCTTAATGTATCAATAATGCTGCGATCTAACACAATACGGAAACTCGACATCGAAAAGCTGCAAACACAACAGGTATCAGAAGTCTACTCAGCTCAACTTACTCACCTGCTTGACGAAAGCACTCCTTGTCCCGATAATAGTATAGAAGCACAATGGCAACGAATTGTCCACTCCCTACAAACTACAGCAAAAGCAACATTTGAGTATCAAGAACCACCATCAAGAAATATATTGTACGATCAGGAGTGTCGTAATACTACTAATGTGAAAAACGCAGCAACCCTGCAGACAGTAGCAACACGTAATGTGATAGAGAATTATCGGGATAAAAGGAGAGAGGAGAAAAGTATTTTCAAAAAAAAAAAAATAAATAAATAAGAAGAAGGAACAAGAAAAACGTGAGCGTGAGCAAATCGAGATGTACAGGAGTCAGAATGAAGTCCGGAAATTTTACCAACGATTAAAATACCAAACCGAAGGCTTTGGTGCAGGCACATCCTCCTGTAGAGATGAAAAAGGAAACCGGGCGACAGATACAGACAGCCTGTTGAGGATCTGGAAGGAGCATTTCTGGTTTCAAATAGTGGCGGTGAAGCGGATTCCCCTGAACCAATAATAGATAACGGTATATAGTGTATAGCACCTAGCCATGATGAGATCAGAGTAGCAATTAATCGGCTTAACAATAAAGCAGCAGGTGCCGAACTATTCAAAACTGGTGGTCAGATGCTGGCCAGGAGCATGCACCAGCTGATTAGTACAATTTTGATAAATGAATGCATGACCAATGATTGGAACCTCAGTATCCTGAGTCCCGAACACAGAAAATGAGACAATACGATATATGCCAACTGTATAGGAATAAGTCTCCTTTCCAACGCATATAAAGTGCTATGCAGCGTGCTTCGTGAACGCCTGAAGCCAATGGTTAATGACATTTTGGACCATACTAATGCGGCTTCAGACCTGTCAAATCGACCATTGACCAGATTTTTACTCTGCACCAAATTCTGGAAAAGAGCCACGAAAAACACATCGACACATTGCATCTATTCGTGGACTAAAAAACCGCATATATGGACAGCCCTATCCGTTCAGAGATTTTTAAAGACATGTCTGCGTTTTACATTCCTACAATATTAATACGGCTACGCAGGATAACTTTAAGTGGCACAAGATCAGCAGTTAACGTCGGAAAGGACTGTTCGAAGCCCTTTAATGCCGAAAGAGGATTCAGACAAGGTGACCGTTTGTCGTATGACCTGTTTAGCATACTGCTGGAAGAGGTCATAACAGAGTCAAAGGTGAACAGAAATGGTGTTCTGTACAATAAAGAACACATGTTACTCGCCTACGCCGATGACATTGACATAAGGGGTCGAACATTGAGAGCGGTAACAGCAACCTTTGAATAAATTGAAAAGTCGGTCTGACAAAAGACCAAGATGATGGTATCAACAAGCGAGACGTCCAGTAGACTCGGACCAACTGTGGAATTTGAGAACTATAGCTTTGAGGTAGTCAAAGATTTTATATAAATTCGTACTGCCATAAATAAAACTAATGACATCAGTTTTGAAATTGGCTAACAGATGCTAAAATGGTCTGAGTAAGCAACTTAGAAACAATGCCACCTCCCGCCAATCCAAACTCGCACTCTACAGCACGCTGATACTACCCGTGCTGTTATAGGAATCTGAAGCATGCGTACTTGCGCAGGCAGATGAGGCAGTTTTTTGAGTGTTTGAGAGAAAAATTCCCCGAAAGATCGTTGACGGTGAATATCGCCGTCGGATGAACCATGAGTTGTACCAGCTATTCTCGGACATGGGCATTATCAGACGTATCGAGCTGCAGCGACTACGTTTGCTAGGCCATGTTGTGAGAATAGATGAAGATGACCCAGCTCAAAAGGCATATAAAAGCGAACGAAGCGAACGAATTTGATGGAAAAATGAAGTGGAAGACAATTATGCCAAACATGGTCTTTCAAATCGGAAAAACTGTGCATAAGACCGACGCGCCTGGAAATATTTTTTAAGCTCGGCTTATGGAACAAAAGTTCTGTCCCAAGGCAGCTAAGTGAAGAAAGTAAGTCTTTATATTTACAAGATTTATGAAGTAATGGGTCGGATTGTCTTGAATGTGTTGAAAAATTATATCATGGATTGGTTGTCAAGGGTTGGTTTAGTTTTGACCATGCAAAAATTGGGTTAGTATAGTTTTCCATATTTTATTTCAAAATAAATTTTGCGTTGTTCATTTTTAAAATACAAAAATATAACCAGTAAGCGGAGCAGTATAGTCGGACGGGGTCGACCATATGATACCCTACACACATTCCACGAAAATCTAACTTTTTGTGGTTATATATTCCGAGCTTGGACAATATTTCGCGATATTGGAACCCTTTTGACCGACTAGAGGTCAACTAATATAACTAATGTTCAGAACAGCCCTTCTAATTACTTGTGTAGGTTCCCTACACCGTGGGTTGTGTTGTGATGTTCGGCTTTCATTTGAAACTGATCATCACCGAAAAATATAGGCGTTGTCCTTGACCATAACTGGAACCTCATGGAACATTTCAAAGTGATCAGCACTATATTTCCCCACTCTAGTGTGGTCATGGGTTACTAAATAATATCTGAATACGTAAGCACATGTATATATTTAAGTGTAACTCCCACATTCGAGTACATATGAAAATACAATTGGTATCCATTTAAAGGTCAACCACTCCTCTTGAATATTCTATCAAGTTCTCAGGGGTAAATATATACGCCTTATAATACAAATTTTATAATTTTTCACACAAAAGTCAGGGTCCATTTGACCCGCTAAATATTGACCCATCTTTATCAAAACATGCTTGCTTATTCTTTGGCCCGATTCCCTTCTTCATGTAAAAATTCGCGATGTTTGGGCCATAATTGCGGCCTCTAGAGCGATCAGACAAAATTAAAGTATTTGGTCCATTTCGTCCCCTTAGTAGTAACCGATCTTCCCCAAAATTTCGCGAAGATGGGTCCATAACTGGGGCCTGTATCGAGCTTACAAATTATAATGGACAGACGGACGGACGGACACACATGTCTAGATCGACTCAGCTAGTCGAGATATGACGATTAAAGGTGGGTCTAGGACCAATATTTCGCGGCGTTACAAACTCTTGGGGCTGCACAAAGCTATAATATCCCGACAACATAGTTGTGTAGGGTATAAAAATTACCTATTTATTTCTGAACAAACTTTCACTATAACTTCATTTACGGGTCATTTATTTAGTTTACAGTTTCTTTTGCTTTGCAGTTTCAGTTGCCAGTGCACTTGTCCCGATCGACATAACGAATTTTGAAAGTGCATCACTTGTTGAAAGGTATAAAAAAATCGGTCCGGCCGAATTGCGTGGAAGGAACTGTATAAAACCTTTTTTACGGCTATATACTCATTCAATATCGAAAATATGCTAGTTGAAGAAATGCCAAAAAATGTTTCAATTTCAGGGTCTGTCATATAAGGATTATGCATTGAATAGCCAGACACGGCATCAATGTTATGTGGTACAGCGGCCGTTTTTTAGCGAACTTCGTCTCTAAGCGATCATTGCCCACGACTAAATTTATTATGTATTATTCATAGAGAGATTTTGGTTTATCGATGCATTTGTCATAGTCATGTTTTGATACACAAAAGGTTCCACCCCATTTTCGGTATTTTAAAGATTTTATCTGAATGTGTCCACAATTGTATTTTTCACCAAAATTGAAAGGATGTATTTTTTTAACAACCTGCCAACAAATATTTGCAATTTTATTAAGAATTTATTAAGAATTTTAACCATTAACCATTGTAGGCTAATTTGTAAGTAGGTAAGTAGTTTTGCAAATAGCGCCCTTCTCGTGTTCACGTTCTCTTCTCAAAACCCTAAAATATTTCTATGAAATAACCGCTATTTTAAACGATTCATGCAATTCAACAATTTTGACAGTGAAAAAGATCAAAGTATTAACACGTCACAGAATAACAACAACAACAAAAAACAACCACCAATATTCGC